TGGAAGTTGTGTAGCAGGGGGAAGAAGGGCAATTCTTTTAGGGGGTTTACAGGCTCCAATTTTCTTGGGGTGGGGTTGTCAACCTGCGTTTGTGTGTGTGTGCAAAGACTCACCCACCCCACCCCCCCCCAACCTCTGACCTGCTTGGATTTATTTTTTGATGGGGTTTGTGCAAGGTGTGCAGAAACCCCCAATTTTATTTATTTTTTTGTGTTTTGGTTATTTTGAACTCGTCAAAAAAACATGATACGTTTGGGAGCCCCCTGACTCCGGACAGGACATCCGACAACGGACAACTGGTAATTTGATTTTTTTCTATAGTTTTTTTTTTTTTTTCTCTAACGGAAACTCGGTTGATCTTGCATGTTTGGAATGACGTTTCCGCAATTCAATTTGCTCGTCATGTTTTTTTTTTCTTTTCAATCCCCATTAGAATTTTGCACAGAGGAGGGGAATTAGAGGGGAGAGGAGTGAAGGGAAACGAGGCGAAAGGGTTATCCTTCCAGAGGCTGACTACCAATTGGTGTTGTGGACTTCCCCGTGATGCAGATGACAACGACAATGGTGCGCGCTCTGCAAAAGCAGCTGCTGGAGGATTCAAAGCAACACTTGAGGGACAAGAGTACCACAGGGAAAAACCTAGGAATGAGGTCCAAACATTAGGTCTGCAAGTACTATGAGACCCAATTCGATGGGATAGCGACAAACTTTCTCCACTGGTGACAACCTTGAGTAGGGTAGAGTTCAGATTTGTGCTCATTTTGCCTAGGGAAGCTGTCTCCTCGGAAACAGTGACCGAGGTTCTTTCAGACCATAACGGGAAGAGGTGTGTGTTTGCGTTGTGATCGATTTGATAACCTGAGCCTTGGGGAATGGGCCCCCGTTTGTAAAAAAAAAAATTATAAAAAATAAAGAAGTGCAGCTTGGACGTCCTCACCATTGTCTTCACCCGAAAATAATGCCCAGTTATTACATTCAACTTACCCTTAAAAATCAGATTTTCATTTTTACTCGCTTTTTAAAAAAAAAACGCCTCTTCAAATATAACGCCCACTGATTATATTCGAATACAACGCCCGACTTATATTTGAATATTTCATGGAAAAGTGCCTTGTAAAGGTAATATACATGGGTTTCAAAGGGCAGGGAGAGGGGTATACATGAGTTTTAAAGGGGGTTGAAAGGGGTTCTGACTCCCCAAAACCAACCATGTTTCTATTTTTATTTTTTAGGTTATAAGAAATTTTGACGTGACCCACAACCAAAAGTTAATAAATTGCAATTCTGGACAATATATTGTTTTTTTTTTTTTTTTTTTTTTTAATCTTTAGAATTTTGGCCACCCACCAAAGTTACCGCCAATGTACTGAATGTAATATCTCGGCGTTATCAATGAATATAATGCCAAGAGGGCGTATTCGTGTACAATGTGTGGGTGTTGTTTTCGAGTGAAAATGGTATGCAGTTGTTAATTCAAGAGAGAGAAGGTTAACAACATTTGTATTTTTGATCACCACTTTAGGACATCCTTCACTTCAGAATGCAGCCTGCCTAAACATGTGGTTTTCAGGGTCTTTAGACCTTTCACCACTTCAGGACCATTCGGGTCTGAAAATCCTGAATGGTCCTGAAGTGGTGAAAGCTCCGAAGACCCTGAAAACCACCTGTTTAGGCAGACTGCATCCTCAAGTGGTGAAGGGTGGTTTTCATGGCCTTGGGACCTTTCACCACTTCATGACCATTCAGGATTTTCAGACTGTCAAAAACTCTCACTTGACCACTTCATGACACCCTTCACCAGTGCAGTATGCAGCCTGCCAAAATATGTGGTTTTCAGGTTCTTCGGACCTTTCACCAATTCAGGACCATTCAGGATTTTCAAACTATCAAAAACTCTCACTTCAGGATTTTCATTCTTGAATTTTCATCTACCCGATAACCGCTTGTGATTCAAGAGAGACCGAGAAGGGCCAAGGGAATCCGTATGGAGAAGGATCTCGACGAACACCTTCATGGCGGGTGCGGACTACTACAACGGCACACAACCTACCATCTATCAATAGTCTGGCGGTTGGAGGATGCGGATGTAGGTGAAGCACTGTCGTCTGTGTCACTTCTGGGAGTCTAGCCATGCAGCAGCCCAAGCAGGTCAACTGATGAGGCAAATACTCATAGAGGTCGCGGATAACATTATTACTCATAGAGAGCACAATGACCGCTTTCTTGACAACTTTTCGATCTGCACGAACCAACCCTTCAATCTTGTCGACAATCAGTACTTGAGTTTACGACGCGGTGGAGAGTGGCGGCGTGCTCTACCAGTCTCTTCCCTTCCGCCGGTCCCCCGAAAAGGGCCAGACGAAGACGCATTCGTCATGGTTGTCATACCACAAGGACGAGGCACGAACGAAGAGGTTGGACAATGCGTTTTAAACATAGCTACGATCCAAACCCCTAGAAAGGGATCCAAACCGGAGTCTGGCATCAGGTACTAGTTTTCGGTAACCAGTGCGGATGGCGGCCCCCCAGGCCAACGACCAATTTTTTTTGGGGCAGCCCGGGGGTATTTTTTCATGCCCTAGGCCACGTGGAAAAAAATGGCCCATATTTCCCTTAGGCATAATCCCGAAGGGGCGGAAAATAAACTTTGGGCCCCAAATGCAATTAGTTGGTGGACGGTCTTGTTTTATGCCTGGCGAACAACTCTTCCATGGCGGCGCCTTGTTTCCATTCAAATTGTTCATCGCAGCCTTTCAGCGTGTTCAAGGTCGGCGCGCTACTCATGTTGGAATACAAGTTCATAACTCCCCGTTTTAGCGTGTGCCGATTCAATGCATACAACGCAAAAAAAATATATGGCACTGACCTGTTCCCTCTCCCTCTCTCTGTCTCTCTTTCTCTCTCACCCTCCCTTACAAATGCAAAATAAAACATAAAAAAAACACTGGCAGTATATATTTTCATATTCTAGCAAAGATTCGTTTCGATTTTGCTCATCCTACCGATGGAAGTAGCCTCTTTCTCTCTCTCTGCGCATATGGCTGGACTGTGTATATTTCCATATTCTAATGGAAGATTCGTTTCGATTTTGCTCATCCTATCGATAAAAGTAATCTCTCTCTATCTCTCTGCGTGCATGGCTGGAGAACTCCATCTCTCTCTCTCTCACACACGCACACATACACAATTGTAGTAGTGTATATTTACATGTTATAGTAGAAGATAAATTTTGCTTATCCTATCGATAAAAGTAACCTCTCTCCATGGTTGGAGAACTCCATCTCTTTCTCTCTCTCACACACGCACATATACACAAATGTAGTAGTGTATATTTACATGTTATAGTAGAAGATAAATTTAATTTTGCTCATCCTATCGATGAAAGTAGCATGAGGCCAACCGTAGTCGATGCGCTACTCATCTTATAGATGAAAAACTCCCTCTCTCTCTCTCTCTCTCACACACACACACACACGCGCACATACACACACACGCGCATACACGCACACGCACACGCACACACACGTGTGGCAATGTATATTTTCATGTTCTAGTGGTGGATTCATTCGATTTTCCTCACGAGGTCAACCGCAAGATTGAAGACTTACCTATTGCCTCTCTCTCTCTCTCTCTCTCTCTCTCTCTCTCACACACACACACACACACACACACACACACACACACACACACACATACACGAACACACACATGTAGCAGTGCATATTTTCATATTCTAGCGGTAGATTCATTCCATTTTGCTCATCCTATTGATGGAAGTACCATGAGGTCAGCCGCGGGATTGGAGACTTACCTGTTTTTTTTTTCTCTCTCTCACACACACACACACACACACACACACACGCATGCACACGTGTGGCAGTGTATATTTTAATGTTCTAGCGGTAGATTCATTCGATTTTGCTCATCCTATCAATATGTTCTAGCGGTAGATTCATTCGATTTTGCTCATCCTATCAATGCAAGTACCATGAGGTCAGCCACGAGATTAGAGACTCACCTGTTTTCTCTCTCTAGCCATGAGATTTGAGACTCACCTGTTCTCTCTCTCTCTCTCTCTCTCTCTCTCTCTCTCTAGCCACGAGATTGGAGACTTACATGCTCTCTCTCTCTCTCTCTCTCTCTCTCTCTCTCTCTCTCTCTCTCTCTCTCTCTCTAGTGCATGCGCGAGCGTGCACGTGCATATGCGGCGACATTTGCATTTGACAACACCTTTGTCCATACTCACACCGGAATTCCTTTTTAATGTATTTGTCCTTAGCGGTGTATCTTCCTATGTTATTGCGGAAGATTCCTTTTCATTCTGCACATTGGCAGGCAACTTTGTTGATACGTATATGGAAAGAAAAAAAGAAAAAGAAGTGAGGCAGTGTATTTTCCATGTTCTGGCTGGAGATTTATTCCGATTTTGCTCACCTTGCACACACACCGAGGCAATGCATATATGTACGAGGTTTTTTTTTTTTTTTTTCCCCGACAAATATGGGGTATCCTGATAAGCATCCGAAAACAAATCCGAACCAGTCTAGATTCTTCGGAGAATTTCGGTGTTCCGAGAGTCCAAAAGGGCCCAGGAGGTCCGTGTTTCGAGGTCCGGATTCGGTCCTATATCCCGTCCGACGTAGCTATGGCTTGAAAGTGGCAGGTCACGGGATGTTGGACGGTTACGTTTGAGAAACGCAAGTGCCCCCATCCGGATATTGACGATTTAATCCCGGCTAGAAACTGTTTTTTGGAAAACGGTGTGTATGAAAACACAGCAGCTTATTTAAAGATCCTTGGAGTGATCGAGGACATTGCCCCAACTGTGGTGGTCAGCGTTGTCATTGATAACGTAAGAGTGTGAAAGTGTAAGATGGTAAAGGCCGCTCACCCTCAAATTTTTCATGTTGGCTGCGCTGAGCATACCCTGAATTGCATGACGGCGGCTGCTGATTGTTGGCAAACTTGTCACGAATGTGGATAAGGAGAGGGCCCTCTGCGACAAATTATCCCATAAATTGAAGTTGAAGCGTCTGACGAATCACCCCATTCGACATAAGTCACGACATGCTGGCTTCATTGAGGAGGAGGAGGAATGCATTCGAGAAGTGCATCTGCAACAAGGTCTGGCTGGATAAGATGGTGAGAACAGACCAGCTCGCCGCTTTCCGTGAGGTCACTTCCATCATGCTGGCAAACACCGACTTTTGGTAAAAGGTTGAGAAGACCCTTGCAGTGATGTCTCTGCCATGGAACTGTTACACGCGGTTGATGGCCCGTGTGCCAGAATGTCGAATCTCTACTTTAAGATGGATATGCTCCTCCAAAGGATGCCTTGCCTCAACAGTTTGACCCCAGCATTCCACTGCATAGATTATGGTCCATGCTCAACCCGGAGTACCGATATTGTACACTAACAAAGCAGGATCCTAAGGTTATACGGGTTTCAACATTTGGCTTTACTCTCCAGCTCGTCGTGAAAGGGCATCACTGGGAATAGCCAGCCCTTGGCTGAGCTCTGACCTTGTCGTGGATGCCGAAAGACAAAGCCACTCTTGAAGATCTCTGCCGCCAAGTCGACAATTGACTCCACCTCCAAAGGCCATTCAAATTGTTGAGAGCAGTGGATGTGCCGCATGTGACACTGGCAGCCTCACATCCCCATGTGACACTGGCATAGATATTAAATATATACAGATCATATATTTCTATTGTCTAATCTTATATTATAATGATACTAATGATAATCTATGTAAAATTGGAAATAAGAAAATTCGCCAAGCAAACTGGTCGTCATGCGACCGAAATTGGAAAATGAGAAATAATTTCAAATAAAACGAAATGAACTGGTTTTCTATGACATACAACCATATCGCCAAAAACTGAAGCGATGGTTGAAAAAATAGAAAAAACTTCAAAAAAAGTACCATTGGAGTAATTAATCTCTCTCTAGCTATCGAGCCTACAACCGTGGCTTTTTTCCGAGTATATTAGATTGCTTTGGCTTTGAGAGCTCAATTATCAAAATCTCTGTTTAAAAACAAAAAGCATTTGTAATGCCTTCTAGTCCACGAGAACAATGTACTTTTATTCCCATTGATTCCATTTCATATAGGAAACTTGTTTCTTTTATTAATTCATCTTTGTTTATGAGCTCATTTTCAGAGAACGACACAAAGCTTATGCGATAGAGACTCTCGAAGTTGGAGCTCAACACTTGGAACACCCAATCGATCTGGCGTAACACCCATGGTGATCAGGAGTAGGTCCACATGACCAACCAGTGGAGGCATACTAGGTCAAAGAGTGGTACAAAATGTGGTTAGCGTCGGCGGTGTCCAACGATGATAACGCAGCGGACACCGCTGATGACATGGAGGTGGAAGAGGTGGATGGAGGGGCACTGCTTGTGCGAACTTGGCAGTGAAATGACGAGGACGAAGACCATAAGTGCAAGGCCAAGGACATAACCCTCTTGCGCTCGAAGGAAAACGACTCGCACAAGTGCTTAAAGCCTGTGCAGTATAGAGAATGGGAGATGCAGATATTTGGCCATTCTCAGCCCTCGCCCTCGGTGTCGTAAACGGAGGAACGGGCATGGGCACTGCACATGGGTGCATGGTACGGGGGACGCGTCCACCAGCAGAAATTGTGGAAAAATAAACAACAGAGGACACGGCTCCTCAACCGACGGGGAAGGACGCAAAAGGAGGGCGGAATTCTGAATAGATGTGAGCTTGTGAAGTTGTGAACACTCTGAAGTTATGAACTTTGCAATCTGATCCCACTGCTGTTGTTCACTTGCACATGTCGTCTGCTTATTACAGGGGGACGTGATCGGTGAACTGATGATGGTGTGGTGCAATGTGCTATGTGTGTTTTTTTTCTTGCCTATTGGTGTTTCGTGCATAAACTGTGCATCCACCATACCACCTGCAGGTGCGTACAGCCGCGTTTCACCCTTCTGTTTGCTGAATTCCAATGCCTCCCTTCCAATTTCAATCCTGTTTATTGAAATTTGCAAGTTTGTTCAAATATGTTGCACTCGTTTGCTTTTGTGTGTGTGTTTGTGTTTGTGTGTGCGTGTGCGTGTGTGTGCGTGTGTGTGTGTGTGTGTGTGTGAGAGAGAGAGAGAGAGAGAGAGAGAGAGATTGAAAGCTCTACCAGGTGGGGGAATCACACAAACGCAGGATTTTGGCACTGTAATGTGCAACGCAGCACAGACAGCATAACAAAAAAAAAAAGGTTGCACACCGGGTGCACCGCCTTGGGTCATGCCCCGCAGTTACGCGTGCACCGACGCATTATGATACACAGCGCGCACATGCGCGATGCACGTGGTGCACGCACACCTGCCAGGTGCACATAGTTCTCAAACAAATGCGTACATCAATGGTGCACCAGGGGGCAAAGGCGAGGAAGCATTGGAGGAGATAGAATGTAATATCGTCCTCCGGTGCATTTGAGGTTTCCGGTAAACAGCTGTCTGGTGAGGAAGGATAGGAGGACGGAGGCTAGGAGGGAAGAAAGCCTCGTGGGCAGTCTCATTTTAAGAGGAAAAGCTGCTAGAAGTTTCACAACATCTGAAAAGACAAGCTACAACCGCAGTACAGCGTTCATCAGCTGCACTCGAGTCATCATCTCAAAACATCTGTGTGACTCGACCTCTCTCGTTTCAATTTTGGGCAGACGGCACTAGGCAAATACTGGCAGGAAAGCGGAATTTCGGGAATGATCCACGGACTTGCAGAGAAAAATAAAGCAGAGAAGACAACAGCGAGACATTCAATTGAATGAGGTATGCAAAGCTTCTCAAAAACGAAATACAGACTTTCATTTGAAGCGCGTAAACCAGAGTACTCCTAGCCATTCTCACCTTGGCCTATTCACTGCAAACATCCGACGATAAAAAAAAGCGCATAAGGAATGATCCCCACAAACGTTCACAAGCCCCAGATCATAATTGGCCTGAAGCTGAAGCGCAATTGCTTTGTCGCTTTCGTAGCATCTCCTCGTCTTGAAAGAGTTGCAACTTCAAGTTCCACATCAAGACGAAGGTTAAAAAAAAAAAAGAAGAAAAAAAAAAGAAAAAGAAAAAGAAAAACAAAGACGAAGGTTTCAACAAAAACACACCAAATGAGAAGTAAACGAGGTGGAGATTAAGTAAGCCAGTAGAGAAACAACCATCGCCAACGCCGATACACAAAGGTACGACACCCATCAGAACACCTGGCATACCGGCTACCAGGCGTTCCCATTTCCGTTCCTGTCTCCAAGTAATATACACAAGCATGGGCCGTCTCAAAATCCACACGATGCAGTTCTGAGTCTTGAACTGTTGACGTGTTGATCAGCAGGTATCTATGTTGAAGATCTGCCAAGCAAAATTTGCCCGTCAGACAGAACTTCAAGAATTACCCCACATGTTTTTACCGTGGTGAACTGCAGATCTCAAGGGAACTGCAGATCTGAAGGGACTGCTTGTGCGCTTCCTGATTCACAATCGCAGACAAGCACAGCAACAGACGAGCCATTTTCCCCTTATACAGGAAGAATACCAGTGGCTACCAGCTCTCCTCTCAGTCAAACAATATAGCACGTCTCCAACAAGAACTGCCGCAGACGAGACTCTTTGCGGTGACAAGTACTGCCTAATTTGGCAACAACTCTCCTCAATCAACCAATGCCACGCTCTCCTCAATCACACAACGCCACACTCTCCTCAATCAACCAATGACACACTCTCCAACAAACATGCACATGCATCCCTCCGGAGTCCGTACACGACATCATCATACATACACAACAGATACACCAAAGCTGACATTCACTGAGCACGACAGCAGATGCGGGTATCAGACAACCCACAAAGATGCACCGCTTGCTACCAATACGGTTGGTTGAGGGCGCACCCGATAAGCACAAAAATAGATGCACCGGTTGCTACCAATACGGTTGGTTCGGGTGCACCAGGTAGCAAACCAAGACAGTGGAGGCAGCAAATCAGGAGGAAGACAAACCGCACTGGCATCGGACAGCATGGAGGAAACATTGGGAAAAAAAAAAAAAAAAAACTTCGTAGATGAAAAAAGCTGCTGAGTTCCGTGTTGTACCCTGGAGTGGAAAAGACGACGAGAGGGAGGCCAGGAACAGGAGAGAGGATGGATGGCATGGTGCAATGCTCCATTGATTCAAGATAGAGATAACAAACAGAATAATGGAAGGCCAAGTCAGAAAACACAAAAGCCAAAAAGAAGTATGGCCAATGCGATTCCCACATCGTCATCGTCTTCAGGGAAATGGAGCCCTCGGCAAATCGTCATATCCTACGATCCTAAAGAATTTCAAAAGCTATCAGTACAGGGGCACAGAGTTGTGCACGGAGCGCAACTGACCCTAGAGCACAGAAGAGAATAACACAACTGCAGAGATGATCAGAGCTCCTCCCTACCTTGCTCGCTCACACTCCCTCTCCAAACCCCCACATCTCTCTATCCGATACTGCTCCCAAAATCGACCTCCTCAGTCCTCAATCATCTGTATCTCCCCCATCATTATTCGATTACTCTGCACGTTGAACCCAAGCAGCGATGGGTCCACCTTCTTCGCTTTCCGTCCTTTCTTCTTCCTTCCACCATTGCTCGCAGTGCCTCCCTCACCAGATGCTTCTCCTTGCTGCCCTGTACCATCCTCGTTCTCCTCCCAGGCCTTCTTCTCAACAGAGCCGGATGCCCCCTCCTGGGCAACACTCCTTGACGAGGCCGCTGTTTGATTGCCGCCACCAAGAGCTCCAGTGCCGTTCCCCTTCGCCTGGTCGGTAATCACCGCCTCACTCAGGGGAAACTCTGAACGGATAACATTCAAAGGCGTCATCTCCTTACGCTTCAAGAACTCCGCTTTGAAAGCCTGAATGGCCGGCAACGAACCTAGGTACTGGGTGAGGTACTCGCCTGCCTCATGTGACGAGGGTAACGACATGCAGAAGTCCAGCAGTGTCATGTCTGTACAAAACCAATCAAACCAAGCAAACCAAGAACCAATAATATATCATTCCCATAACTCTGAGCTTCGGAAACTGTCAACGAGCGACCAGTGAAACACGAATAAGAGAATGGACGACAGCACGGCTCCCTAGCGACAGACATGTTGAACATCTGACAGTCTGGCATGGATTGCTAATGGTTAGAACACCTTGTCTATCCAAATAACAAAATTGGGGACACCTTGCTAAAGGTAAGTTTTCATCTGAAGGTATTGGGTATCGATTGATGAGAAGTGTGTGACACAACCACTCGAAAATGTACATAAATTAGGAATGAGACCAGCCCACCCCAAACGAGCAGTTTCCACCATCGACAATCGCTGGCAGATCTTCTATCTCCATCAGCACAAGTTAACATTCCATTGAACACTCACGGGTATTTACGTGTGTACGTTACGTGTGTGTGCATGCGCACATGTGCCTGTGCGTGTTTCTGTTCGGGTACGTATGTACATGTGTGTGTGCATGCGCACATGTGCCTGTGTGTGTTTCTGTTCGGGTACGTATGGGCTGTTTATGTGAATCTAGTGAAATTGAATTGCAGGTAAGATGATTGAAACGGGCATTAAGAGGATCGTTGCACCACTGGCCGTCCCCTAACATGTTGAATGCATCTGGACAATTGCTTTGTCCAGACGCATTCAGAACCTTCGCAAACGGTGGGTGGTGGAACTAGACCCCAACTCCTCGGCACCGCTGATTGTGGCCATCACAAGTGCAACAACCTCAGAGTACCTCTCTCCTGCTTGACAGAATCTATCACCTCCCAGAAGTGACCTCATCGATCAGCGAACCAAGCCCTACACCGTCAAAGGTACTTTTTCATGGCTTTGATGGTCCTGCGAGACAATTTCTCCTCTATGGTACCACTTTGTCGATGATCCTGCTGGTGGAACCATCACTTGAACCACTACTGTCCTCGACTTGATGAGCTTGTGGCAACATCCAGTAGCCCAGAATAACTGCCAGCACCGACCTGAACAGCCTTGATCATAATGCACCATCCAGGTAAGCAGTTCCAGTTTTTTCCCCTGCTGGCCCATGATGCTGGTTGATTTCCACTGGGATAGTCCCCAGTCCCAGTGAGAAATGGCACAGTTTGCAGGGATTGTCACAGGGAATCCCTTGCTAAGGACAGAAATAGTCACTAAGGGTGAACAGGTAAGCTTTAGGCTACCCACCTTTCGGTGGACCTCTCTCTCTCTCTCTCTCTCTCTCTCTCTCTCTCTCTCTCTCAAGGGTATTTGTGTGTGTGTGCATGAGCACATGTGCCTGTGCGTGTTTCTGTTCCTGTATGTCCGTGTTCATGCGTCACAAAAAGAGCAAGTGATAGCCCTAACAAAAGTGGTTGGCTTTTATCACATCAACCCTGCAAAGTCTCTTTCGACTCTTAATGCGTGTGTGCATCTATCTGCTATGCTGGCCTTGCCCTTATGCCAGGCACCTCTTGCTTTCGAGTGCCACGCACACGGCCACAGCGCTGGCCTTTTTCTTTTTCGTGCATTGGGCCGTTGCTTTTTTAAGCTCATTTCTATTTCAAAAGTTTTACATTGCCAATCTTCAGGCCACAACCTTTTGTTTCAAGACAAAAGCTTTTCGCCAACTTTTATTTTTTGCATCCAAGATTCGAAGTGAGTTTCATTGCACAATCACAATCCACTCATGCCCAGCATAAGGGAAATATATGCAACCGACCTTCAAAAAACAGATTTCACCTCACAACCTGAATTGATTCGCACTGCAGAATCAAGGAAATCGTTCGTATCATAAAAGGTAGAGTGCGTGAAATGACCGATGAATTCCCCCCAAGGTTGAAACACTGGCGCTCAGAGGGAAATCCGACAAGAGAGAAAAAAATGACTCAGCTCACAGTGTTGCGCAGCCGGACAGTGAAATATGCATCTCTTTTGTGACTGCCCTCGGGGTCCTCCTCTTTCACCTCATTTATTCCTCACAGAGCCCTTATCCCTCAGACATCCATTGGAATGTATCCGAGCTATCTTGCAGTACTTATCCCTCGGACATCCATTGGAATGTATCCGAGCTAGCTATCTTGCAGAACCGCAACACTCATTATCCCTTTTGTTTTCTTTTTTCGCAAAACGAAGAGACTCGTCAATCGACCGTTGCTCCTCCATGATTTTCTACAAATGTCTAGGGCCTCCCGCCACCACACACCACAATAACAAACTGAACATATTTTTTCTCGTTTCTAGGGAAATATTTGTTCTCATTTTGCAATTTGGTGAGAGCTGGAGTGAGGTCCATAATGACGGTGCTCGTGTTCCTGAAAACGGCCGTGTGTTTCTGATAGCTGATTTCACGCAAGTACTGACAAACTGCCGTTTCCCATTGCCGACGCCATGGCAGCTTCCAGCAGTACGCTTCTCTTTCTTATCGGAAACATTGCGCAGTCTTGCAATGATCGCAAGCAATATTTCCTGTCCGATAAAGGCTCGCTTTCTCTCTCCCTCTCTCGATACAATTCATTCGGCTCAGAAATCACACGTTTCTCTGAATCGTTGTATCATACTTCCACATATATCCACTTAAAGGAACGTGGAGGTGAGAACGGAGTGCACTCATAGGAGGGGAGGGGAGATCACTCACAGATTACTCGGTCAATGAGAGTGGGCAAGTTCAGGAAAGCTTTCCATGCATCTTTTGCTGTGAGGGAGAACATAACCTTCTCCCAATGAAGTGCACACGTGTTTCAATCAACTGCAAGAACTGTCCCACCATGAGCGTATCAGTGAGAAGTCGATTGAATCCGCTGCGGGTTAAAGCCACCACTACCTTTCTCAGTGTTGGGAAAAAGGGCAATTCTTAATTTAGCCTACTCCCAACTTTTCAAAGGTCCCAGGCAGGTTCCGCATCCAGGAACAGCGAAAAATAAAATATTTGGAACTTGTGGTGCCGCCTTACCGAGATCTATGATCTATGATGTCAGGGAAGAAAATCAGAAAAAATTCAAAAAAAGAAAACGTACCGAGATCTATGACGTCAGGGAAGGCGGTTACAGAGCCAATTCTACGTAAGATAGAGACCACGCTGTTTTCGTGTTTTTTCTTTTCTTTTCTCTGAGTGCCCTTGCAGTGAGGCAGCGTGTATTCCGTGATTTGCTGATATGCCCTCGCTGAGGGCAAACTGATACTGGCACTTGGAAGACTGTATAAGACAACTTTCACGGCCACAGCAGAGTTTCTTTGTTATTTCCCCTTCTTCGTTGTCTTCTTTTTCCAGTCTGATGACCTGACTGTCGTGGCTGAAACGCCCTCATTGCGGGCATCCTCACACTGGTACTTGGGGAGAATGCATCGACCTGCTTTTAGAGGCCAAAGGTTTCGTTTGTTTTTTTCACCTTCTTCTATTGTGAATAAAACCGCCTCAATGAGGGCGTTTCATTTCCCCCCCCCTTCTTCGTCTTCTTCTTTTTTCAGTCTGATGACCTGACTGTCCTGGCTGAAACGCCCTCATTGAGGGCATCCTCACACTGGTACTTGGGAGAATGCATCCAACTGCTTTTAGACATCAAAGCTTTTGTTTGCTTTTTTTTCCCATCTTCTATTGTGAATATAACCGCCACTACGAGATACGTTTTCCTTTGGGTACCAGAAAAAAATTCCGATGGGAGCATCCAAAAGCCAGGGTTGGCAAAAACAGGACCGGAGGTAGTGGTGGTTTAAACCACCACTACCTTTCTCACTGTTGGGAAAGACGGGAATATATGTCACACTGCATTCTTCGGAGGTCCCGGGGAGCGTCGGCCGAAAGAAAGTGTTTGCCCAAGTACAAAAAGAAAAAGATGAAAAAAAAGCCCTCTGCAGAGTCCAAAGGATGGACAACGGAGAAGGCCGTGATCTAGCTGTGCTTCCACCAGAGTTTCAACCCAGAACCGTAGTCGGCCTCGGCTTTTTGTTTTGCGTGTTCGCTTTTTTTTCTTTGTTTTTAGTTTTAAGTTTTAGTGACCTGCCAACGAGGCACGCCCATTCAACGGACACCTGACATTCCACAACTGAGGGCACACTCTCACATGTGCTGCAGATTCTGTATCGAGTTGGTTCCACGTCCAAAGAGTTGCTGTTGTCATTGTTATTGTTGTTGTTTTGTTTTGTTTCCTCCAGCCATGATGATCACAGGGGAATCTGATTAATTTTTTTACGATTGTTTCTGTAACGGCAGTTGGAGGGGCCTACTCGCACAGAGGACAGATTCTGTATCCAGCTGCTTTCACTTCGAAAGAGTTTTTTGTTTGCGTGTTCGTGTGTTCTTTTTTTTGGGTACTGGCGTGATTACAGATGTAACACTCCCAGCTGAGGGCATACTCTCACATGAAACTCTGATTCTGCATCCAGCTGCCTTCACGTCGCAACAGGTGTTTTTTTTTTTGGCTTTCCCATTCTTTTTTTTTTTTTTTTTTTTTCATTTGTGAGGAACAAGCCCTCAAGGGGCCCTATCAGACATCACATTATTCTGGGCTAAGTCCCCCAGCAACAATGAATCCCCCCCGCGATTGATTGATTGATTAATTGATTTCTTTGTTCCTTAATTCGATTTTTTTTTTTTTTTTTTGTTAGATTGATTGATTGATTGATTGATTGATTGATTGGTTGATTGGTTGGTGGGGATGGGTCGCCCCACCCCCACGACCATGGGCGCACACACACACACACATATAGGTGTTCTCTCTCTCTCTCTCTCTCTCTCTCGCGTGCGCGCGTGCAGCTCCCGCGCAGCAGCTCCTGCGCATGCTCCCGCACAGCTCCCCGAGCGCAGCTCCCCCGGCCGCGCACACACACACACACACACACACACACACACACACACACACAGACACACACAATCAATCAATCAATCAATCAAACCCTTTTTTTCAAGTTTTTTGTTTATTTATTTTCAAATTTTGCATCTTTATTTTTCTAAAACACCTCATACCCCTGCAAAAAACAGAAATTCATTTCTAAAAAATACAGGTGAACTCAGGGACCATATATCTGATGATAAAAAATGACAAAAAAAAAATCCAGCTTTTCTTTTTATTTTTTTTTATTTTCTTTAAATTGAATTTAGTTTTTTATTTTTTTTTAAATCCTAAACAAAGTCGGATTCCAAAAAAAAAAAAAAGGGGTTGTAGGGCTTAAAATTCCCTACAACCCCTTTTTTTTTTTTGGGCTATTATTTAATTCAGGAAAAATCTGGTGAAATTGCATCGTGGACCCGGTAGGCCGCGGAGGCGGCCGTGAATATGTCCGCCCTCCGAGCTCGGCCCCGCGGACGCGTACGCGGGTGTTTCATAGCCCAGTAAGCCAAGTGCCCGCCCTAAGTGAAGGCGGGCCTGAATATTCGTCAAAGGCGAAGTTCGAAGGTCCATATGAGGGTATTCAGGCTCTCGCAGCACGCCAGTTGGTTGGGAAGACGCGTGAGCCTCACATTGCTGCGTCATACAGTTGGCCCAGGACTTGACAGTTGCGCCTGGGCACACGTACACAAAGCACATTGGGAATCAGGCCTTCAGCCTTTTCAAAAGCAGTAGTGCCAACGCACCTGTCGGGGGAGCCCTGCCCAGATGCAGCAAACAGCCCAAGTCTGGAGACTCAGGCCGTGCCTAACTGCAAAGGGCCCATGCCCTCAACTGTAGTCTCGGGCCTGGGCGCAGGGTCTGGGACCCAACCGGAAGCTACTGGAAGCTTCCAGTCAGGCCACACACAGCATCCAGGAGGCTGCCACTTCCACAAAAGGAATGAGGCAGCCCGGGCCAGGCATTCTGGCCAGCCCTGGCAATGCGGCAGTGCTGCTGCGCTCTCACTTGATGCTGCGCTGCTGCCAAGGGCGCTGACAGGGCGCGAGAGGTGAAGTGGGGCGCTGCAGGGCAGCCGGGCGCAGGTAGCCATAGCCGGGCTGCTGAGCGCCAGGGGGTACAGCGGATGATCAGGTGGTCTTCAGGGAAGGAGGCGCTGTGTGGGGTAATCAAGGTCTGATTACTGAGGGTGACGAGATACGTACCTGGTACATGAAGAGAGGTCGGAGATGGTGTTGGCAGTAATGTACATTTGTCTTCGTGAGTCGAAGTGATCTTGTTGCGTGCACCAGCTGTACGTAGGATAGTCTGGTAGAGTAGGCTGGGCGCTCAGCGCCAGACAGAGCAGAGCGATTTTGGATACTGTGTTGGTGTGGCCTACGGGCATGAACATTGGCTCATTACTTCATTGTATTGCTCTATAAGGATGGTTTTCCCAGTGCATTTGTACTCTCTGCTTGGGACACAACTACTGGGACAGCTGTGTGATTTCGCAACTTGTTTTATGTATATCGCTCACACTCATATTCCTTGCACATTCGTGAAGAGTACCAGAAAAGAACATACAACGGGACCCGGGCTCGACAAAACTCGGTGCGCAGTGAAATTCAGGATTGGTAAAAACTAGATCTGAGGCAGTGGTCGTTCAAGGATCATAATCTCGACTCTCGATTGGTGTGATTCTCGTCTCTCGAGTGATGTACAAGGTTAATTCTGTCTGAGAGTGACTCTTGAGTGATGTAGGAGGTTTCGGACATAGTCTAAGAAGTGGAAAGGACAGTCCCATTCCTTTAGGAGAGCGTTTTCCTTTCTTTCAAATGCCCAATACTGACCTGAAGGCAATTAAGACTAGCTAGCACCCATATACATCAAACAGTTGGACTAAGGAAACAAAAAACACTTTAGGCTTGGTTCACTATTAGGACCTCCAGAATGGAGCCTAACTCGCACTATTTGCAGATACAATCAAGAGATATCACTTGAACAAGGCTGAAAAGCCCAAAATTGAAAAAGCAGAATTGAAAAAAGGAGATTGAGTTTCTCGACTCTTCAGTTGACTCCGCTGCAGGCACAGCCACAAGGGTAGGGAAGGAAAATTACCATCATTGCCAGTCAGCTTCTTGATATGACCTTCACACCACTGACGGAAACCAGTCCCTTGTGACAATGCTGCACCTGCTGTGAGAGCTGCAGCGACGGTTCCTGCAATTACAACGGCAAACAGGAAGGGTCAATCTACTGCACAAAGCACAAGAAAGTTGAAGAAACAGGGTAAATACAAGTCTGGAGCATAAGCTTCCCGCCTTGAAATCCTCTTATGAGCTGCACAGCAGAATCAGCAGGAGGTTTGATTGCCATAAAACTGAATTGGGATGCGCACACACTCACACACACTCACACACACGGAGACACAGAGAGAGAGAGAGAGAGAGAGAGAGAGAGAGAGAGAGNAGAGAGAGAGAGAGAGAGAGAGAGAGAGAGAGAGAGAGAGAGAGAGAGAGACAGACAGAGAGCGAGTTTGGGAGACCTCGGGAATCTGCTGTGGACAAACAACCGTCAGGACAAGGATGTGAAGATGGTACACAGTCTCCAAAGAAGGGGTGAAGGACATGACAGACTGCAACGGCAGGAGACGAGTAGTAAGAAGAGGGGGGGGGGGGGGGGGAATCAATTGTCAAAGTGATCGCCCAAAGATGAAGAAATGCTGGGCCGAAGGAACGACAAAGAGGCTCGGAGGCTGGTTGAAGGAGGGGGAAGGTTGGACAAACCAAAAGGGAGATGTTTGGGCCATATGGGGAATTTCGACAAGGTCAGTGCATGAGGTCGAGTGTCTTAGTAGCTGGGAGAAAGTTCCGGTGGACAGGTGAAGCAGATTTTGATGCGGCTTGGTGGTTTGAGCTGCGTGAGGAGATTTGGGCCGAGACTGCCAAGCCAGGAGGAGGAGGTTCAAATGGATCACCAGGGACTGGTAAAAGCCGTCTGTGAAGGAGGTTACACTTTCCCTTGGAGGGATACACCAATAAAAGTGGGCAGAGAAATGGGAATGGGAGACTGGGAATGGGAGAAGGGAACCTATTGATCACTGGAAAGTGGGATTCGTACCAATGGCGAAGTCAGAGGAGTGATTTCAAGAAATTTAGACCATACGTAGTGCTCTTACCGGTAGATGCAGTAAGAACATTTGGAATTGGGCCTCAAGCGGTAGCAAAGGTAGCGCCAACTTCAGCTCATGTGAACTGGTGGTTTAAGGAAAAGGTGGAGCAGGCGCTGAACAGGGGCCCAATACGGAAGTCTGTTTGGGTGGATGGGCAGACATGCGAACGGACGCAGGGTGGAGAGAAAAGGTCAACAACCAACTCCCTAACCCTCACCCAGAACAACTGGCCAGCTTTGAGAAAAAGCTCATCTGTGGACACAAATGGAACAGAAACGTTGGCTGCGGAACAACATAACACTTAAACAAATCAACGTCGGCAGGTTTTAACTTTTTAGTGTTCACTAAGTGCACAACACACCCATTAAAATATTCTCACTCACACCTTTGCTATTTCGTCTTTAGGTGCCTATGGTGTTATACCAGCAGGATTGTGTCGTAATGCCAAATAAGCTTTTCGAGGAGTACTACGATCTGCTGCTCTTCGAAAAAAAGAAAACATCATGAGATGACAATCAGAAGTAGGACTACTGCAGAGCTGGAATGCTCACTGTACGACCGAAATAGGAAAGACATACCATCTGCAGTTCCAGCCTTCTTCGCTGAAGACTCTCCCTGTTGTTTCTTCTGGACTTTCGCTGTTACCGTCTTCGCATTTGCCGTGGGATTTGCTGAAGTTAGCGCAGGGAAATCCATCACATCCGCTCTTGGCATGCTACTCTGGAAGCCAGCGACTTGCCGAAAGCCTCCAGCTTGAACTGCTGTTCCCGCTCGAGCATTTCCAGTAGCTTGACCGCGAGTCACTTTACCACTCGCCAGAGTAGGAAAGTCTGTGAACCTGCATACCAAAGAAGAGAGGTCATTCCCATAACCATAGGTCATCATGAATTTACAAACATGGTTCCAACATTCATGGATTGAGAACTCGCAGGACATGAGAATCGCAAGCATGGCTCCAACAATCATGGATCGACAACTCACAGGAAGTGAGATGCCATCACCATAGGTTTTCACGCTGCAGCGTTGGCTGGGATGCACCATGCTGCTGTTTTGCCTGAAATCCATCCACGCAAATTGGACATCGCACGCAATCCGTTTTGCCTGGATGGATTTCCAGACAAACGGCACCGCACCCGACACACGAGCATGCACGGATTGTTGGCTGGGAAACGTACTAGGTGGGAGTTGTCTTTATGTCGTAGAATGATATCTGCATTGCACGGAAAGCATAACCGACTGCGACACAATCCCCAATACGTGTGCTTTGACTAGTGTGGTCAGGCCTGCCTGTGGGTGGATTGATAACATCTTAACTTGTTGTACACACGTTCTTCACTTGACCCTGGGCTCTTCTGGTAGTTGCTAAATGACCAATCCATTTCACAGCCTGCCCTTCATATCTCCAGGCCTTGCAGAATGGTATACAGGGTGTTCTATAGCCACATTACTGCCTCATTGGGAACACCAATCCTAGGAGGCGGCCAGTTTCCAGACCTTCATATCTGCAGGCCTTGCAGAATGGTATACAGGGTGGTCTATAGCCACATTACTGCCTCATTGGGCACGCCAATCCTAGGAGGCGGCCAGTTTCCAGACCAGTTTGGTTTACAGGTGGTCCCTTCTCATAGTTTGGCTTACAGGTGGTCGCAGTACTACAACGTTCTCATAGTTAATCTAAACGGCAACCGCCCGCCACGCTTCCCAAAGATCACAGATATGCCCTGACTGCAGAATGGGTTGACCAGCACACCGAGGCAGAGCAGGGATATGCTGCTGAGGAACAAATTCTCGGTGCACCAGCTTTGGCTTTTTACAAGGCACTGACATGGTAACTTCGTTACGTGGGATATGGTGGTTTGACTTCCAAACTCATCTGAGGGAGTAGACAAGCCTCCATGGGCAGCTGCTATAAGTGACACAAGCTGCAACCAGAATGATTTGAATCAGAAATTTGGGGGCCTGGCCTGTGGTAAAAAAGAGGAAAAGAGTTGGCCCTAGAGGCTTGAACAGAGTTGACAATATTTGTTTCCCGAGTATTCACCAAACAACAGACGCAAGTAGGCACACATCAGAGCCAGTACTTTCTAACCCTCGGACCCATTCGGTGCATGCACTGAATCGAACTGCCTCCCTCCACCACAACAGCCAAGTCTCCTAAGCACTGCAGGCATGACATGGTGTTCAAAAGGGGAACCATACCAGTCATGATATCCACCCTGCGCCTGTATGGATGTAGTGTCCTTAATCAGACACACACGCAACACAACACGCGCTGACGCCACAAGCAATTCTCGCACACTTGGCTCCAATTTTCATTGGGGCTTTGCACACAGCCCACTGCATTCCTTGTGCAATTTCCAGGCTGGTTGACAGTCTTGTGAACAGTCAGTACTTCCTCAGCCTTGGACCGTTCCATGCGCGCAGAACCCAACCTCCACCCTCAGCCACAAGAGCCAAGTCTACATGAATAGCAAGAAATGGACTTCTGACCTATGTGATCTGCATTAATTATCTTTCTACATCATGCATATTGGTTCAAGCAGTGGGACCGCAAATGAAATGCCCTATGCTGGGTAGCCTCACAGAATGCAGAATCGCTAACCTTTCAAGAGGTTTGGAGTTCACTGCACCCAGATTCAATGTCGCATCTTCCCCGTAGTCCCAAAACATATCGTCATCATCATCATCATCGAACTTTCGGGACTGAACCGACTTCGAAGCTGCATTGGGCTTTGCAGAAGCGGAACTTGCAACGCCTTTCAGTGTTGCAGCTGGGGACGGCTTGGATGCTGACGAAGGTGTTTGCTTGGAGTTAGCCTTGGTTTGTGATGCTCCTTTTGAAGCTGGTGGAGCAACTGATGCCGACAGTGAGGGGCCCTGCGCTATTCCAGCAGTAGCACCAGGTTGCCGCTGCCATGCCGAAGCTCCAACAGCACTTTGCGAGCGTGGAGCCGAAGTGGCTCTGGTACCAACCTGTACCTGCTGAGCATGTTGCTGAGCCACCAGCTCTGCCTTCCTCTGTGCCTCATCCCTGGCCTTGTGCTCAGCCTCTTGTATCTCCCTCAGAGACACAGGTTTTCCAACATTCCTCTGCCACGCAGGCTGATTTACAGGAGGAGCTTCTTCTTTCACAGGCAAGAAGTCTGCAAGAGATGGAGCAGGTGGGGCTGGCAGTACATCTGTTTCAGCGATTGGAACAGCCTCCTTGCGACCAATTGCAGGTGAAACAGATGTGGCTGGCTCCGGAGATGCAGGTGGTGCACCTTTTGCGGCAGGACTGGCAGCAGTTGCCTTCCCCTTTCCACCACGTCGTTTGCGAGATTTGCTTTCCTTTGGCTCCACAAAGTCGTCAACTGTGGATCCTGAAGCTGAATTCAGAACAACAGGAGTCCCCACCTCCTTGACACCAGGGACGATACTGGCACCACTGTTCCCATTCACAGATCCTGCACTCCGTGTAACCTCCACAGCGGCAGTTGCAGCAACCTCTTTAGCAACTTTGCTGCCCGCTGGAGCACTCAAACCAACTCCGGGTTGAACCGCAACAGCATCCTTGCCTTTCTGCATCTTCTCAGGAGGAGGAACCAATGATCCCAACGCCCGGGCTGATACATCCTTGTTTGTTATGGAGACACCGTAAGCTTTGGACTCGGCAGTTGTATCAGTCGATCCCGCAGATTTCTGCTGTGCTTCTTCCTCAACAAGGATCTCCCTGAGGGACTTGGCTCCTGTTGCAGAAGCACCCCTCCAAACGTTGTTTGCGGCAGTCATGGTATTTGAAGCTTCACCTGTGCCCTTAGAAGCAGGCTCTGACAACATTCTCTCCTCATTTAACCTCTGTTGTTCTGTTTCCTCCTGTTGGATTTCAGCAAGGGACTTGACCCTCATCGTGGGCGCTTTCCAGACTGGCGGCACTGCAGGTACTCCTGAAACAGAGCCCGCTGCTGTTGCAATGGCACTTGATGCTGCTGACTCAGCCACACTGGAAACCTGCTGAGATTGGGCAGACGACGAGGAGGAGGCTGGGGACGAAGCACGGGGTGGTCTCTGTTGCTGATTTGCTTGGGGTTGAGTTTGCTGCTGCAATGCCTGCTGTGACTGTGCCTTAAGCTGGGACTTCGACTTTGATCTCTCTCTCGTGGGAGTCTGGACTTGAGTCTGAGCTTGACCATCTGGTTGACCCTGAGATCCAGACACTGACCCCTGACGCGGCGACTGCCCTGCAGAAGGCGCTACCTTCTCCTGGCGACCCTTTTGCTGTGAAGCTTGGATCTGAGACTGCTGTTTTGATTCTGATTGCGTGTCAGCCTGCCCTACAAACTGTGGGTTAGTCACCTGTTTCTGGCTTCCTCCTGATTCTGAAAACAGTGCATCCGATCCAGATGGAAGTCCGTGAGCAAGACCTGGTGCTGACGCTACCACACCGAAACTTGTTTTGGGCTTGGGCTCAACAGGAGACGAGACATGGGCTGGGACAGGTTGCATATCCATGGACTGTCCGTGGTTAGCAACCCCATCCATCACCTTAGAACTCAAGGAAGACTGCTGATCTGCACTGCCAGATCCACCTGCTGCAATGACCACCCCCCCAATGCTCCCTCCAACTCTTGGCTCTCTCTCCGGCAAACGTGGCGCATCACTGATATCCCGTACCACCTTCCCAACCCCACCTTGTAGATCATCAATGCTCCCTAAGGCTCCTACAGGGTCCCCATTTGTCATGAAGTGCTGCCACCTGTGCTCCATATCAATTCCAATGGACTGCTGTGCTTGCTGTACCAACTTCTCCTCCTGCTTCTGGCGTTTCTGCTGACCCTGAGGCAGAGGATGTGGGCCTGCAAGTTCTGACCGAGTCTCCTGGAGAGTTTGATGACTCAACCCCGCAGGCAATGTCCAGACGTGATTACCCTGCCGGCCATCAGACACAGATACTAAAGACGATCTGCTTTCAGGTTCTGCTGATAATGCCAGGGCCTGGATAATATCTGTCCTTTCTGCACCAAAGCTCCCAATTCGTTCAGGAAATTGTATAGGTGCTCTTCTCTCAGCTATCTCCGCAGTGACACCATGGCCTATGCCTTGTCCGACCATCCGGAAGCCATCAGGTCCCTGATTGAGTTCCTTCAAAGCAGGATTCAAGTCCCCAGCTTTTGTCGATTCCATTATACCAGGGCGAGATCCCTGTGCAGCATCCATTGGTGGAAATCCTCTCTCAAAGCTTGGCAAACCATACACTCCAAGAGGGGCCCTTGGTCCCAAGTCCGTTCCAAGTTGCTGCAGTGGGCCCCGGGCATCAACATTGAAACCAGGGAGAATCCTTGACGCATCATCACGAAGTTGATTTTGCCCGATTAGTCCTGGCAAGAAGGGCATCGGCGGACGAGGTTCATGACCCCGCGGCTGAGGTTCTAGTCCTTCCATTGTGCGCAAACTTGGCGGGGGTGCTGCCTGCACAAACTGTCCAAACTCATTCACCTCCCATACTCCTGAAACACGCATCTCGCCAGTAGGCTGCCGCTGCTGGGGAGCAATAGGCATCGGAACTGGACTACCACTCAATAAATGAAGATGCTGTGGATTGAGAACCTGCTGATGGAGTTGCGTGTGCTGCTCTTGCTGATGCTGCTGATGCTGGCGAAGGAGATGCTGAAGGCCCGAAGGCATCGGGAACGCTCTACCTGGTAGAGGCTGCTGGTGAATTCTCAGGAGTTGTTCCAATGGTAATGGTAACGCAGAAGTCGGAATGTGTTGTGGTTGTGGTTGCTGAGGCAGCTGCTGTGGCTGTTGCTGAGGTTGTTGTGTCTGTGGTGGTGGTTGCTGAACCTGCTGCTGTTGTGCCTGTTGCTGCTGCTGCTGCTGCTGCTGCTGCTGCTGCTGGTGCTGCTGCTGGTGCTGCTGCTGCTGCTGCTGCTGTTGTTGCAAAATGTGCTGAAATGACAATCCACCGCCAGGAACATTTAAAGAACCAGACATCACCTTGGGTCTTAGTAAGTGCTCAAGAGGAACACTCTGTGCCTGCTGCACAGTTCCATCCATCTGTTTTGGGGGCTGTGGCTGCAGAGCTTGCGGGTGTTGTGCATGGAGCGGGGGGAGTGAATCCAGCGGGTTCCCAGGTCTAATCAGCTGCTGTTCCTGCATCTTCCTCAGAATGAGTTGATTCTGATCAGGTGGAACTGCTCCAAACTGCTGCTGTAGCTGCCGCCGCATATGTTGTGCTTCCAGAGCTTCCAACTGTTGATGGCCAAGATGCGGAGAGGATGTGGGTGTGATGTGCCTGAAGCCACCTTGCCCTAACTCAGCACTGCCGAAGGGCCCTGTACGCCAGAGGTGTCCTCTATCAACTGACCCGCGCGATGAACTATACTGAGAAAACTCTTCTGGTGTCATCATAGTGAAAGGCGAAGAAGATTCCACAGGGAAAGCGGCCGTCTGAGGTATTGTTATTGGCGCACTAGCAGCTCGAGGACGGATCTCACCAGCAGAATGCCCTACCACACTCTCTCTGTCAGCACTATTGAACCAACGCTGTGTAAAGAAATCAGGCACTGCCCTCACCCCACCCTGCTGTGATATTCCTCCAGCTGCGCCATCCGTTTGACCTTCAAGAAGACGAGACTCATGCCCTGGCGATATATTGCCCAGACTCTGTCCAACGACTCCACTCTGACCACCCTGTGCCGAACTATTTCCACTCTCCCCAGTTTCAGCTGCTAATAGACTAGTTAACGACGACATTCCACTAGCAGATGTCCCTTGCAGTTCATCGCCACTTTTTCCATGACCCAACAAATTTTCCACCAGCAGATCTGCAAGCACATTCCAATGCAATAGTCATCAACTCGTGAAAAATGAAGGGATCCACCCAAAATAACAAATGTAAAATGAAAACACAGGTCCCGCCAGGCAGACCACACATCAAACTTCCAATACCTGGCATCAAATCCTTTTACATTCAGTGGTGTGAGGTCAAGTGGAGGTCACTCCACAAGGGGTGGAGTAGACAGGTGGCTGAAGGAAATGAGACACCTGAAATTTGTGTCCCACTTCATAACAAAACATTGTGGCTCCCTGCGGAACCCTTGTTACCTCTTCTCCATAGGCCTACCCATTTAACCATAATGACAGTTGACCGTGCTCCACAGCGCTCAAAATAACAGGAAAACGATCTCCAGAGAATAGCAGAGTATGGGCTGCATCATGACTCAGTGAGGCATAAAGGTGTGCTTTCCTTGTGTGTCTCCACGAAGTGAACGCACACCAAAAACATCCAGATCAGTTGTGTTTGACGGGACTCTCATGCATTCCCCCCACCTTCCTTGCCCCTCCACTCAACATTGTTAGCATCTCACAGACACGTTTCATCATAGGGGCTATAACGAGTAACTAACACAGAGCAACATGGATGATCGTCACACAATCTTCCTCAGCAGATGTCTCACCAATAGCTCATTCAATAGGAAACCCGGCATTCTCATAACAAAACGCACATTGAAGCTTAGAAGCCCAGCCTACACCTGTGCAAACCAAAACAACGAAAGTGGCCAGACTTGTAGAATGGCTGGAGGCATGAACAACTGATGTGTCCAGCTGCTTAAGAGCATGGTTTCCTCCGGACTCATTGCTTCCTTACATCGCATGTTATGTGCCCTCTTAGCATTAGCAAGTTGAACAAGCATTTGTTTAATCGGAAGACATTTGGCTGCTTCATCACTTGGGTCAAGACCGCTGTGTGCGCACTTACCCTCAGCCAGTTGAGTAGATGACAAAGCAGTCATCTGATCTGTGACTTCATGCGAAATTGCATCTGCTACCTTCGCCCCCGAAGGGAGCCCAGTGGCTGAACAGAGACCAGAAGCACCTCCCTCATCACCTGTCCCTTGGATAGACCTCGCTGTCAAGACATCTTTGCCTCTCTCCTCTGCCATTGCAATTGATGTCCCAGCAGTGCTACCATTAGTCACACTACTATTCTCTGACTTTTCAGTAGAAGCAGAAGCAGTTTCTTGAGCTTTACTTGTTAATACATCCACTACGGAAGTCACTTCCGCAGCACTTCCACTGCCACTCTTCACTGCACCTGTGACAGCTTCATCTGCTGGACGCACCGCATCAAACCCAGGAGGCAAGCGGCCAGCCTTTGGCTTCAGATGTGGCATCACAGTACCAAGAGGAACAAACGGGGTATTCTCTGGAGCTCCCAGCTTCTTCACAGGCAAATCAACTGAGAAAAACCCTGCTTCAAACCAGCCTACAATATCAGTGCCTCCAAAAGGCCCCTGTACATCTCCTTGAGGATCCTTGTAGTACAAGAACATATCATCCACTGAGTTATGATCGCGCTGATCATTTCCTCCACTAGTAGCAATGGAATCCACAAGCCCCTCTCCTCCTTCCTTATGTCCACCCTCCCTATTCTCCCTCCAATCCGTCCCCCTGTCCCACTCATCGCCGCCCACCCCATCGTATCCATGATCTGACCCCCTTGCCTTTTCCACAAAGGGTCCCTCGCTCCGACTTGTACGCCAGGTGCTCTTTTCCAACGCCCTTTGGGAACTGAAGCCCCTGGAATCATCACGTGGCCTCTCTGGTTCCACAGCTGATTTCTGAACACTGCCAACCGACCCATCCCCCCGTCTCCAGGCACGCTCGTGAGGAACAGAATCATCATCAGGATAACGCCAGTTCCGTTCATCTGGCCGTCGCTCCTCACGCTCAAGTCTCTCTGTTGTTCTCCACCTCTCATCCCTCCTGTAAGACCCCACCTCATCGTCCCCAGACTTTGTCCGCCACGTAGGACGCTCCTCTCTCTCCGTAGTACGATCCTGTCGCCACCCCCTGTCTTCCCGCATGCCCTGAGCTGTTGCAGAGTCATCTGGTCCTCTGTTCCGCCTCCACGGGCCATCACTTCTTCCAGCATTCTCCTCACCTGAACTGCGACTACGCCGCCATGCAGCACCATCCTCTCTCCCCACCTGATTGTCTTCCCCTGATGCCCTTCCTCCCTTTCTTCGCCCAGAGTCCTCTCTAAGAGAAATACCTGCATTCATATTGCACATCCTGAGAGTCAGATGCAGACAAATTTCCCCATTTAACAAACGACTACACAACCTGCTGCAGCTTTGCCCAGAAACGCAAGAGGAGGTATGAGAGCACATGCATGACGGTTTGTCATGTATAACATAACTATTGCTTAGCTCGGCAAAAGAAAAAGTAAAAAGCAAATGCCAACATGAATAAGCACGCCTTTCCTGAAACAACTCTATCTTAACGAAATCGCACTTTTTCTTGGATGGCAGCAGGCAGACAATCCTCGACACCATGTCGCAGGCACTGGCCTCTCTCTCTCTCTCTCTCTCTGCCCAAATGACAATGAAAGGGATGGGGATAAGCGGCCATGGTGGAAGGGGGGAGCCATGGCTGAAGGATTGCACGGTCTCTCTCTCTCTCTCTCTCTGTGTGTGTGTGTGTGTGCATGGCCTCCCCCCGCCCTCAAATGACTGAAGGAGGCATCAGTCAGCAGCAGCCGTGCCGAAGCGGATCAACCAATGGCAGTTCTTATGGACAATAAATTGGGAATAGATTTGATATGCGTGTTTCAAGCTTGGGCCAGCTCTCACAGTGTGACCTTGGTTGTCTGTTCATCCCAGTGCAGGGCATCCGTGTGGACTAATTAGTTCCCAGATTTATTCTGAGATAGAGCATCGGGATAGTTCTTTAGCTTCCAAGTAGAAACGATCTTAGCCCCTTCCTGGCTGGGCCTGTGGACGCCAAAAACACCCCGCTGTCCAGCTGAGCATATCGATGTAGCGACATGCACAACTAAATCATGCCTTCTTTCAATGCATTACTTCTTCCCACCACCAGCAATCACAACTAGAACTAAACCCATGTTCTTTATCGGAAACCTTCTACTTATATAGAAAACCCCATACGTGCGCCTCCCAAAGACCACAGGGCTGATATGTGAAATTAGGCAGTAGACTGAGCGGGAACATGGACTCTTACCATCGTACTCGTCCCGAGCGGACTCCCAAGGGTGCAACCCAGAGCTCTCAATAGAGCGCAACTCAGCCAGTCGATCAAGAAATCCTTCCTCCCCACCAAGCCCAGGTGCATCATAGAAGTCATCCTCTCGATGCGCATCAAATCCCTCCTTCGACGAACCTGAACCACCACAACGATTTGAAAAACACGCAAACTTTCTCTTACGCCCTGTATTCTTCATATTGCTGCTTTATGGTTCCAATAATCCATTGGGCATAAACTCTTCTGTAAATAAAATAGCTTTTTTATTCCTATTTCTACGGTGCACCGTCTCACAACCAATTTCGATGGGCTTTCAATTCAATCAAAGCCTGACATACTGTTCGAAGCAGAAGACATAATTTGCCATTTCCGTATATATCATCCCCAGCAAAAACTTAGCCATACAGAACCACACACGCTACAGACCACCTACCCTGTAAATATACCCTATAAGACGGAAATTGTTCACATCGATGGCTGTGCAGATCGTACATCGGCAATAGGTCACTGGCATGCCATCATTGCTTTTTTTTTGTTGAGAAATTTGGGAGTAAGGCATCACGAACATCTTCCCATGTGCAAGACATCAAAAGGAATGGCATTCCCTCAACCCTGTCACTAATTTATTGCAGCAGACAGGTGCACACAGTGCCCACCTGCAGCAGCCAGCTCCCCAGAAATATCCCTTCAAAAAAGCTAACAATCATTTTAAAAATGTAGTGCAAAAGATTATTCAAGCAACTTTTAGAGAAAACTGTCTCCATAGAATTTGTAAAAACGGAAATTACAATTTTCATCATTTGTCTTGCATCTTCCAAAATCCCCTTTCTTCCTTCCGCACACTGCCCAACTCTTTGATGCATGACATACCGCACGCTGCAAGTATGAGGCACAGGGGTTACAAGGAGGCTAAACCAACAGACCAACAACGGCACACATTTTGTCAGCATCTGTTGAGGTACTTCAAAGCCCCCTCAGCCAACCGGCTCGTTTTCCAGTCTCCTAAAATTTGACAGAAGTTGCACAAATCACGGTTGTGGAAACTATGTGATGGACACAAAGCATCCACATTGCGACAGGGAAGACAATGTCTGGGACTGGTGATCTAGGAGCTGCAAGCACTAGTGTACCCCCTACAGAGAATCTTCTTAGCCGAAAACATGCCAATCCTTTTTTCAATCATTGAGTTTCCCACTACAATTTCCCCATGCAATCACAGCAGCACATCACAGTTGTGGAAACAACAATGTGATGGGCACAAGCATCCACCTTCTGACAAGGAAGACAATGTCTTGGACTGGTGATCTACAGCTCCACGCACTACTCTACCTCCTACACATGCGAATGGTTTTCCAAACACTAACCTTTCAACTACCATTTCCCGATGTGATCACAGCATCACAGTCAGCCATTGAAACCCAGAATCAATCTACTTATTTGTTAACAAAACTGTCACGAAACTGGCAAAGCATGCAGATGGTACTACCCTAGTTGCTAAGTAAATAGCCATTGCTGTCAAGAATACGCAAATGGAAATGAAAAATGATTATGAGCTTGGCAGTTCGCCTCCCCAGTGCCTTATGTTCCAATCCAAAGGAAACGTCACCTCACATACAGAATCAATTTACCTTTATTAGGTACTCGCTGCTATTATCTCTTTCAATTAGATCACCGATCCCCTCTCCCCACCCACCACCTGTTTGTCCTACCAGTTCCCTGACCTCAACCCTTTCCCAGCAGCACGTGTCCATGCCGCCAGTGCACTTACCCTTCAATCAAAGAGAGGAATGGCAGCCTCAGCACAACATCACCCACAGCAAGCATGATCTGGTACATTTTAGGTGCCACGACAGCAAAAAAGGCACTAACACAGCTGCACAGCATCATCAGGAAGACATGCAGCAAAAGGCTGCTGAAATCATCCACAGGGCCATCAGCAGTCTACCCACACATACCATCAGAGACTTCACCTAAACCACAGTCATCATAGAAATCAGCAACCATTCTTACCGTGCAGTCTTGTCTAAATATTGCCGATGCATCGCAACTGCTCTTTGCAAGAGCTGAAGCACCTACCATTCCATTCTCCTTCCCAAACTGTTCATGAAAAGGTGATCCATTGATGCATCATTGCAACTGCTCTCTGCACGAGCTGAAGCGCATCCCAGTCCCTTCTCCTTCCCCAACTGTTCATGAAAGCTTGGTGGCCATACCAAGCATATAGATACTCGCAAAGAACCGCCTGGGGAAACACTGACGGAAAGGGGAAACAAGACAAAGGGGGTTTGTGACAAACACATGCACTATCATAAACGTGCTATGTACATATCCATGTATATATATATACACCTTGTCACACAGAAACGTCTAGGAAACAGATCAGGAAACAGGACAAAAGCACGGGGTCTTACATAGTCAAAGAGAAACCCTGGCTGAACTGTTGGCACAAAGGGATGGCGGACAAAGAATGCAGGGCTCTCTATTGCATTGGATTTTCATCACCTACTGCAATATATATATGTATATAGTCAAACAAAGCTGCCCGGTAAACCGTAGGCAGAGAGGGAGAAGAGGACAACAAACGAGGGGCTGCGGCAAACTGTTTTGTCGGAGTTTCACCGACTCATCAGGAGGCTGAACCCTCTATATATATATCGTCACAAACAGAACTGCCCGGTAAACCGTAGGCAGAGAGAGAGAAGAGAACAACAAACGAGGGGCTGTGACCCTCTATATATATACGTAGATATGCATGTCCACAAAACTTGACAGCCTTCGCTGCAATAACACTAGGAATGAAAAAAGTAAGCAAGAAAGAAAGGTGCGTCCAATGCATCTACCCGGCTCGGTATGAGATCGCACGCCCAAACATCAAGCATGCGTTCCAGGGCTTCTGGTCATCAGGAAGTCACCTCTTCCTCGTCCCCTGCCAGAAGTCAATTCATCCCGTGCACGCCCCGTCGTAGCGCTTCGACTGGGTGGTGCTTCCCCTCTTCTTACACTGTCCAGGGCAGCCTATTCACATCACATCAAAGTTTCCGACACACAATCGACTGGAAATATCTCAGCATACAGAAAATGTCAAACCAACCCTTCTGGCAGACCACAGATCGTGACCCGTTAAAACAGAGCAGAAAAAGCAAGACCCACTTGCAAAAAAGTGCAGCGGAATCACTGGCAATGAACTTCTTTCAACAACGGCATCCAGCAAGCTCCACACACCTTACGAGAGTCCCAAGAAGCTCACTAAGTTGAAAGCAGATTCTCAGCAATGGGACCTCCAATGACCAGCAAACAGACCTTTCAGTACCTTTAGCCTCTCCTCTGTTTAGATATGGAGAATCTCCTGCTTGTGATAATTTCACAATATCCAACACCATGCGCCCCACAAGAAGTATTCAACTTCACATTACCCTGACACATGCCAAGTCTGAGAAGCCATGCTCTCTCTCTCTCTCTCTCTCTCTCTCTCTCTCTCTCTCTCTGTGTGTGTGTGTGTGTGTGTGTGTGTGTGTGTGTGTGTGTGTGCGGGTGTGGGTGTGNTCTCTCACACACACACACACACACACACACACACACACACACACACACACACACACACACACCGACCGTGACACAAATGTGGTAGTATATATTTTTGTGCTTTAACGGAAGACTCATTTGATTTTGCTAATCCTATCGACGAAAGTAGCATTAGGCCAGCCGTGGCGGTTGGAGGCTAACCTGTTGGCCGCTGCGTTGTTCATCCTATCGATGGAAGTACAATGATGCTAGAGGTGGGGTTGGAGAGTAACTTGTTGGTCGTTGCGTTGCTCATCCTATCGATGGAAAATCTTTCTCCCCCCCTTTCTCTCTCTCTCTCTCTCTCTCTCTCTCTCTCTCTCTCTCTCAACCACACACACACACAAACACACACGCACATACAGACGAGGGTTAGAGCAGTGGGAGGGGTCAGGGACCTAGGCCTATGCCCTCCGACTTCCCCCCCCAAAAAAACTATGTTCGCATTCATCGGATTTCCATGCCCGAACAAGTTCGGACGAACGTGTTCACGTTCGTCGTCGAACGTGAACGCCGTGCAACGCAGGTTATCGTGATTCTGCTGCTCCTATTTTTGTTACCAACATTTCGATTCTGTTTTTGAAAAACGATATCTATGATAGGGCCCTCTGCTTAAGGCAAACCATTTGCCTATGTGCTTTGTTTTACTTAGTAGGAAATTGGCTTTGCCAAGAGAGGGAGAGAGAGAGAGAGAGAGAGAGAGAGAGAGAGAGAGAGAGAGAGCTGTCTCTTATACACATCTAGATGTGTATAAGAATATGCTTTTTGTACTGCAATGATGTCGGGCAGGGTAGTCTGAGAGGCAGTGCTCACCATCTCCCTCTACAGAATGCATCTTACTGCAAACACGGTCACATTCTGAAAGTTGTTTTCTTTTTTTTCTTCCTCGTGTGTTTGTTACGAGTCCCCTGCCAACGAGGCAGATCAGAATCCGTGATCTGCTCAAGCTGTGTTTCCTCAGAGGATTGTAATACTCATCACGCTGACACTTAAGAGGAATGTATCCAGCCATTTTCATGACCGAATCCCTGTTTCCATTTTCTTTCTCTTTTCTCTCTTTCTGGAATCTGACAGCAGAATCCGTGATCTGCTCAAGGCGTGTTTCCTCTGAGGATTGTGATGCTGATCACACTGGCGCTTAAGAGGAATGTATCCTCCCATGTTTCCCTTTTTTTTTTTTTTCGTCTTTCTGGGATCTGACAACCTGGCCACGGGGCTGAGATGCCCTCGCTGAGAGCACACTCACACTACCACTTCCAAGAATGTATACAACTGCAATCACGGCCAAAGCTTTGTTTCCTTTTTTTTTCTCCCTTCTTCTTTTGTGAGTTCCATGGCCGCAACTTTTATTCGTTGTCTTCTTTTTTTTTGTTCTTTCCGTGAGAGTACCAGGAGGAAAATGGAGTGGGACCCAGACTCAGCAAAACTCGAAGAGTGAAATTCAGGCTCGGAAAAACAGGCTCGGAGGTACTAGTGGTTTAGAAGACCCCAGATTCTCTCTCTCATTCCCTTCACAAATCATCACAAGCCATCCATAACGAAAAGTATAGATAGGCAATATACGTTTGTGTGGTTCAGCACCAAGGGCCCACACACCCGTCTGGCACCAAAGCGGCACACTTGCACATATACAAATGTATACATTTATATTTCAAACCATAAGGGGATGGAGGGCAGAAGGCAAAACTCACGTAAGACAGAAGACTACTCCAGCAAGAATGCACCGATCCAGCACGAACGCACCGACCCAACCCCCTCGAAGGTCCAAACAAACTTGGACAGCCTTTCGCAGCGGCCCACAAAACCAAAAACTCATTTACCAAAAACAGTCAAATATAACAGCATTGGCATTCCCAACATTCATCTCAAATTACACCATCGCCTCACTGCCAAAGAGGAGGAAGAAGATAAGAGAACTTACCTAAGACAGAAGACTCCTCCAGCAAGAACGCACCGACCCCCCCTGCTAAGCGTCCCAAATAACTGGGAAAGCCTTCCATGCCAGCCCACAAAACATACATTCCCCCCAAAGAGAACTCGTGGCCACCCGTAAACATCCAAACAGCCCATGCTCTAAAGCAGGGCTTGTTCATGTCTGTGTTCGTGTGTGTGTTGATGTGTCCAAAGTGCAAAATGGTGAAGACGGGCCCGAACCGACCTTATGCATTTAGTACATACACACACAGTGATAAATGCTTCTGAGGCACCACTCTCACCTCCTCTTCAGCATCCAGTGGAATCAAGGCCAGCGGTTGCAGGGGCTCCGAATGTGAGATTGGCGGCAGATCAACAAGCCCCTCAGGGCATTGATCCAATGCGGATGAAGACTGACACTTGCTATACACATCCAGCATTTTACTTCGCGGATATCTGAATACTCCACCCCCACTACCGCTGGCTGGTGTCCCAAGAGACGGACTTTCTGAAGCCATCACCGCTCCTCCATGAAGCGTTTTCAACGGCGCAGCAGACGGACTTGGCTGTTGCCCATCCCACATTTCTCCTACCACACTGGATCCAAACCCAGAGGGCGCTCCACCTGTGAGCCCTCCCCCTGCTCCTCCTCCTCCTCCTACTCCAGGTCCAAGGCCACTTCCAGTCACCCCACCCCCACTCGATGATCCACGACCCCTTCCAAACCCCACCAATGATGCGGAACCCTCTGCCCTTCCTCTACCAGCACTAAAACCAGGTGCTGGTGCATTTTTTGGTGGAAGGCCGTCTGCACGTCCAATCCCCCCCGCATTACCCAAGTCAGCTCCCCCTCCCCCCCGACCTCTACCCACTCCACCCCCATGACCTCCCCCAGAATAATACCCATGTGGTCTCCACGGCCTGTCTCTTCCACCATCTCCACCATCCCTCTCCCTCTCCCTCTCTCTCTCCCTTTCCCTCTGCATTTGATCCCCATTGTCTTCATCTGGACCTTCCAGCCACTTATCCCTATCCCTTCTGCCACCATGGTCACCACCGCCAACCCCACTCACCACTCCACTCACAGATCCTCCACCACCACCCGCCTCACGTGAATCCGACCCCCAACGATCTCGACCACCTCCCCCACCCCCACCTGCACCCCACCTACTCTCCCCCCCCATCCTTTTGCTCTCTCCACCCTCTCGCCCAAGATCACGACTAGCATCACCCCAACGATCCCTGCGATAAGGATCAGATACCAAGTTCGACCCACCCCCCCCCGACTCCCCCCCCCTCCCACTCCCAGCACCCTCCATTGTCCAGCGCTCTCGCCGAGGAGGGGGCACCACTATTTCCACCCCATCCCGATCTCCATCCTTCCATCTCTCCCGTCTTCCCGGAAGGCCCATCTCCCTCTCTTCCTCTTTCCACTTGTCTCGTCTCCCTCCCCCTCCAGCCAATTCAGACTCGCGCTCCCTCTCCCTTTCCACGCTGCTCCACCAGTCCTTCCTATTGTCAGCTTCCCTCAGGAAATCCTTCCGCCGCTCCTTGCTCCCCATCCCGGGCACCTCTCCGACCAAGCCCCCATTGTTGCCTCCAACCAATCGGGATGTCTCCTGCATTCCATCACAGCACAACCCACACAGACAACCATAGCCATCAGCATTGATGTCAACAATTTAATCCCCTAGATATCAGCATAAGAAAACCGCATGACCGATTGAGTTTCCTATTAAACCGCCAGGACCTTCGAGCAGTCCTTGCTGAACCAGTCCACGGCTGGTTCCCATGCTGTTGGGCGTCAGGCCGAAAATGGAGTGGACTCTGCTTTCAGAAAGAAACAAGGAGATGAGGAGTGGCCTTGGTCGTGCGGTCGACGGGAACCGCAAAAGAGTGGACCAGGAGTAGCGTTCAAAAGAGAGGGGGGGGGGGGGAAGAAATAAAAATAACGAGTCGAGGGCCTGAATATTCCACTAGAGCATTGAAAGATACGCTCCCATAGTACCTAAGTGCAGAGACTCTTCTGGTGGACGGGTGCCCCTATCATGGTGTCTGCCAGTTGTCAGAGCGGGGGGGAAGAGAGGGGGGAGGGAAGATAAGATTCCTCATTGTCATATCTTCTATGCAGGAATCTTTGTCATATCTTCTATGCAGATCCAATTGAAATTGGCCTGCTCACCAGGTGAAAGGCCTTGCTCCAGTACTCACCAAATGTGCAAAAAGGGAATGTATCATTTGCTAAAACATGGAAAGATACACCGGCATTTTTTTTTTTGTCTTTTGTGCGTGCAGAAAGTAGCAGAGCCTGGCATAGGGTAGATCTTTGTACGACGAGGAGTCAGCCTGACAATGACTTTCTGCTAGAACATGGAAATTTACGCCGCCATTTTATTTTTATTTTTCCCAGAGGAATCGTGAAGTCTGTTCTCCAAGCCAGATCCTTCGTTTCTTTTCTTTTTCTTTGCACCTGTGCATGAAAATCAGATCCATCACGAAGCTATGCCGACCCTGTGGGGGCACCTTCCAGCATGCTCGGAGGGGGGGGGGGAAGCAGGGAAAGGTACCCGCAGTTTAAAGCAGTTGCATACCTAGGTGATTGAATTGATATGGAAGAATTCAATCACTTAAGAGAACAGCCCTGAAAATGGGCATGCATACATCTTGATTCCTTTTTCTTATTTGTTTCTTTATGTTTCTATTCTACCACCCAGAGACCAAACATGACAACGCCCCTGAAAAACGGATGATAGAATTTGTCTCCTTTTTCTAATAGAAATTGCTCCCTTAAGGGAGTCCATGCATACATCTCAACCCCTACCACATGTATGCTCTTAATAATCACGTTGTCTACTTGATCCGCTTGGGCAAATCACCACATTCTTATATTCAACAGAGCCACAGTTTTGCTCTGAGTACTTCGATAAACTGAACTACAATGAACGGCTCATTTCCTTCAGACAGCACGCCAACTGTTGCTTAGAAACACAGCACATCTCAACACAACAAAAAAAGAACAGCTACTTAAAATTAAAGCAGAGCAGGGTTCAGGGAAACCCTGGGCTAGAAACACGGAATACAATTTTTTAATTTCTATAACTGTAGCGAGGGATATACAGCTAGGTAGTCTGAAGGACCCAGATTGCATGATTGGAAGTGAATGGTAAAGGCAACTTGTGTAACTGATGGCAACACACAGGTTTGGGGGGAGATTTCGAGGTACGAAGACGGAGATCTGGTCAATGCCAGGAATACACGGCATGCATGTACAAGACATTTGTGAAAACCTGACGGGGTGAAGGGTGAAACGGACAAGTACAAGTTGATACTAGGACACAGACAGCGCACGGATTATAGCGGCAGGAAATACATAGGCTAGGTGCCTATGACTTCCTAGGATGAACAAGGGATATGCGGCCCGAGGGACTCTGCCAGGACCACCCCCCCTCCTCCCCGGGGATTACCTTGAATCGTGCCCGGGTCTGCTAGTAAGCTTCCCGATTTGCAGATTAATCCCTGAGGAAGGGTTGGAGGTTGGGAGTGGGTTGAGCCGAACCAGCCCCCTCTTGCTTAGGCGGCTCAAGCCACAAGGGTAGTCTGACGCTTTTCTCTGTCTAATCTCCCCCGCTGCTCTTTCGGAAACATTTGCATGCCGGTGATAAGCAACCGCACTGATGACCCCAGAATAGAAGAGGCTGTGTTTGTTGGGGAAAAAAAAAAAGAAAAAAGAAAAAAGAAAAAAAAAACAGAGCTCAACTGCCATTTAGAGATATACCACAGCTCAGCAAACAGCTACTTAGAGACATAGCAGAGCTCTGAGAATCCCTACCTAGAACAACAGCAGAGCTCAGCTGATAGAAAGAACGCACAGCTCAACTGGTGGGGTAATCTAAAGAGCTAAGTGTGGAAAGGACTCATCGCCAGACACACTTAGCGCTGTTTTCCAAGGCGCCCAGGTACACGACCACTAGCACAAGGAAAGACCTCCCCACTTCAAATGAATGACTTGCTTTGAATTTGAAAAATGGTAAACATAACATGTTTTCAGTGAGGAGTGCTCATTCATCACGAGGCTTTAGTGCCACACCCAGGGGCACACCAACATGAAAGAACTAACGCACCTTTTCTGAACATGAAAACAGCAAGAGCACAAGCTCCTCTAGGCCAAACGATTTGCATGTCCCACATCACCTCTCTCTCTCTCTCTCTCTCTCTCTCTCTCACACACACACACACACACACACACACACAGAGAGGGGCCAAAAGCAGGCCAGGCCCCTTTCTCAGGGTGTTACAAGCAATGAGATCTAAGAAATTTGCATACCAGATTAGTGAGCAAGGCCGAAGTCGACGTCTTCTCCGGTGGGCGCGCGACCAGCCACTGAGGAGACAAGGGGATGATGCTTTCCGGCGCCAGATGATCTGCGTGTTCACACCGCATATGTCATCCGCCAGATGATTTGCCAAAAAGAAGTATTCAACGAATGCACCAAAACCGTAGCACAAAATGCAATGCAATGATGCGTCAGCACTCCATTCGTAACCAAGTCCTCCGAGAAGTGAAAATGCCTCTCGTACTCTGATCTCCTAATTTGGGGGGGGGGAGAGAGGAAGCAGTGGGGACCGAAGTGGGAAAAAAGGAGGGGGGGGGGGATTGAGGGTACAAAGCAAAGAGAAGCAAAAAAAAAAAAAAAAAACGCACACCTGGAAAAAAAAACAGAAAAAGAGATAAGTAAAAGAGAACGACAACAAAAGAAAGCATCCGAGCAAGACACTTCAAAAAAAAAATCAAATATTTGTTGAAAGACACAGTAAAAGCCAGGAAAATGAGGGGGAGGAACATAGGACGCGCAAACAAATCTTCGGAGAGAGAGACAAAAACAGAGAAAGAGAGAGGGGGGAAAAAAAGAAAAGGAGGGGGAGCAGAATCGAGGTACAACCTCTTCTTCTTCCCTAATCATTTGCATAAAATCACGGACACATGACATGGTCGCGTATCTGGTCTTCCTTTCCGACCACATTACAGCCACCCTTACTACAGAAACACCTCACAGATGATGTCTCACCACTAACCACGTACATCACCGTTTACCCAAAAAAAAAAAAAAAATTCACACAATGATCAGCATTATTACCACCAACCGCCTATGTCACCATCACAATCACTACTTCCCATTGATCGTTTAAAAAAAAAGAGAAAAAGATACAAAAAGGCATGCGAGTGCCCCAGGAAGCAGCTATCTCAACCGCGGCACCACACCACACCCCCAGACCGAAGAACCGCCAAAAAATAGCGCCAAATCGAGTGTTTTCCCGCCAAAAAATAGCGCCAAATCGAGTGTTATCCCGCCAAAAAATAGCGCCAAATCGAGTGTTATCCCGCCAAAAAAATAGCGCCAAANCCCGCCAAAAAATAGCGCCAAATCGAGTGTTATCCCGCCAAAAAATAGCGCCAAATCGAGTGTTATCCCGCCAAAAAAATAGCGCCAAATCGATTGTTTCCCGCCAAAAAAAATAGCGCCAAATCGATTGTTTTCCCGCCAAAAAATAGCGCCAAATCGAGTGTTTTTCGGCCAAAAAATAGCGCCAAATCGAGTGTTTTTCCGCCAAAAAATAGCGCCAAATCGATTGTCTTCCCGCCAAAAAATATTGCCAAAACGAGTGGTTTCTTTCGTCAGCACGCAACGTTTGGCGCCAAGACGAGCTGGCGCCAAATCGCGCCAAATCGATAGGAGACCGGTTGGCACCAAAACTCGGATTAAATGCAGGTTTATGGATTCACATGCCCGGCCCCAACTCACATCTTCTAGATGACCAAAGACCAGACAGGCGCCATAGCTTATAGACACAATTAGCTACCCGACTATCCACTATCGGCTTTTTGGCTACCTGACCATCGGCTATTGGCTATCGGACTCTCGGCCATTAGCCATCCAACCATCAGCTACCGGCCCCGAAAATGGCATATCATCTTCACCCGCCCAACATGGTCTGTGATTACGATCACAAGAGGGAAAAAAAATCACGGCCGATGATAAAGTCTATTAGTCTACTATAAGATTTATCATCATGATTGAAAAATGAGGCTACCATTCTCTCAACATGTCCAGTCCAGTTAATTATCTGTACCAGTGAAAAGGACAGAAAAGCGCTACACCCGCAACACCCGTCTGTCCAGATTTCAAACACGTGGCCTGTACAGCAAGCAGCCTATTGGCGGCGCGGTGCCCGGCGCAAAAGTCCGTTCCTCTAAGGGACGGGCATACTACCACCTTCTTCCCCCGAATACAACGTACGGTCATTATAGCTCTACTTTAGTCATCTTTCAGTCTAGATACAGCTATAACGACCGTACGTTGTATTCGGGGGAAGAAGGTAGGGCTTTTTGCAATAAGCTCTGGACCGTTCAGATGTGTCCTGGTCCGACTGTAGTGTTGTGGTGACATAAGATACATCCAGGATAGTCCCAGCGTGAGTACTCCTGGCCAGGGCGCACTCCTGATCACGAAGGCGGCGGGGGCGGGGGCGGGGGCGGGGGGGGGCGGGGGGGGGAGCCTAGGTTGCAGGGTTCCCATTGCACTCGGGGATTCGCAGCGGGGGGCCTAAGTCATACTCACGGTGTGGTGTTACTACGGCATTATGTCAGGCAGCGGGGGCACGCGTACGCGCGGGCCCAAGCCCAGCCCCACAGCCCCCCCAAGAAAAGGAAAAAAACAAAAAAAATCAAACTACAAATGCGCGAGGAAAAGCGAGACTGAAAACAACCTAGCCCCCAAGACTCTCAAGGACCCAAATAACACCAAGGGGGAGTGGGGAGTGAAGGGAGGAGGGCAAGGACTTCGATAACAAACAACAACAACAACAACAACATGAAATGTAGGGTTCAAAAAAATCAAAAATTTGGTTTTACAGAAACCACAATCGGTGTTTCCGGTCGCAACCTCCATCATCATCATAATCACCTTCTCTCTCTCTCTTCTCCATTAGCACCACCTTGTCATCCTCCTATCCCCTAGGGCATCATTCGAGTCTTCACACCCATCCCAACACCAGAATCCTTCGCCTGACAGTCTTCCCGCTATCACAGGCAACCTTTCCCCTCGACCCCTCTCCTCCCAAATACCGTCGTACTACACATCATACTCCCTCGAATCGAAACACCATACAATCCCACGATGCTCCAGTGTCTGAAATACTTCCGCAAATAATAACCGCCGCCAGGGCCGTCCTTTCCCCCCCTCAAGCTCATCACCATGGTCACGACCCTCATCCCATCATCAAGACCCTTTCCAAAAAAACGCCATTGTCTTCACACCAGCATCATCATTCTCAATTACACCCGACTCCTTATCCGCATTCCTTTTTCAAATTTCAATCACATTCATCATTAGCCATCTCCATCACCATCGTAATCAACATAATAACGTCCCCATCGCCATTACACCATCGTCATCACCATCACCGCGTCCTCATTTTCGTCTGAAACACAAATCCTTCTTCATCGCCATCATCATCATCATCATTATCCTCATCATCATCGTACACCTTTGTTTTCTCTTCCCCTGAAAAAAATTGATGGTTCCGACCGTCACCATTGTTTCTTCCTCCATTTCACTCATATCCACAAGGAAGAGCAATCCCGCTCATAACCATGCCTACAGAATGCCTCGCATGTGGCACGTGTACACCTCTACGCCTGTAACTGTGTACACGACTCCTTGAACGATCCTCGCAAGAGTGACTCGCAAGAGTGACTCCCAAGAGTGACTCCCAAGAGTGACTCGCAAGAGTGACAAGAGCATTGCACGACCCGTAAAGGCCGGCCAGCACAGATGTGTCTTCTCCTTATCGTTGTCCCTTGGCACATCAACGCTCGTAACTCGTGGACACTTGTACACCTCTACACGTGTGACACGTCCAGCGCTCTCGCCGAGGAGGGGGCACCACTATTTCCGAACGATCTTCGAAGGAGTGACAAGAGCATCACATAGAGGTAATAAACAAGATCAAAAAGGTGAAGGCAGCATAAATTACAAGGTCAAGTTCAACGGCGTGGTAAGAACGTATTCTGAAGTCAACCGTGCTAGTGATAAGAGCATGACATGACCAATAAAGGCCGTCACGCACAGATGTGTCTTGTCCTATCCCTGCCCCTTGGCACATCAACAGTGCCACGTGTCAGACATCTACGCTCACTGCCTTCCCATGTGACTCTTCTCCTTATCCCTGCCCTTTTGACAAGTCAGACTTAACTGCCAGTGTCAATCAAGGTCCACACAGGCGTGGGCGGCAGACTTGCTGCCACAATCGCACACTCCTGCTGAAGGACCCACAGCTGCACGGGCAGGAAAATCACCCGCACGGCAGGAAAATCACCCGCACGGCGGGAAAATCACCCGCACGGGCGGGAAGAGCAACACTTCTACTCTTACGACAGGCGTCCTCGAGTCAATCACCCGCTCTGACAAGTGCGTGTCCACCCAAACCGGGGCAGACGCACACAATCCAGACCTATGTATGACACGTGGACACAGCATCGACAACGCCTTATCCACAACATAGAACAGGATATGGTATAATTTCTTTCCACACTACATCTTCAAAACTCGCCATACCTAACACGATATGTTATTTTGAAAAGCGGATGGGACAGGTCACGTGACGTTATTTGGAGGGTAGAAAAGCGGATGGGACAACACCATGCACTCAGACAGAGGGGCTTCTTGGAAAACAAGAAAGGCCCTGATAAAACTAGACACAGCAGAGACAGCCACTCACGACCCTGAATCCCGAACCTAAGCTCACGCCGCCACCGGCTGCCAAATTCCACGCTCGAGACTACCGGGCTCAGCTTTGGAGGATGGGTGTGGGAGATGGAAGGTGAAGGATGAAGGTGAAGGTTGGCTATGGAGGTCGGATGTGGGAGACGAAGGCTGGAAGCTGAACGACAAGGTGAGGGTCGGCTATGGAGGATGGGTGTTGAAGATAGAAAACGGAATTAGGGTCGCCTGCAGGTACACCCTTTTGACTGTTTTCACTCATCTGCTTGCAGTGGAGTCCGAACTCGAGTCTGTATTTCAACAGTCAAACGGTGTACCAACTGAGCTTAAGCCCAGTTGATATCGTCACAGCTTGTATAGCTTACGTTATCCGCTTCTATTATCCACAGATTATCTCATTACAAATTTTAACCACATGATTCACCAACTAATAACCATTTTTTCAAAAAAAAAAACATAAAAAATAATAATAGTAATAATACCCATTTTTTTCTCCGTCTCCCACCCTGACCATTCTTTCCCCTTTCCGTTTGCAGACAACTTCCGTTTGCAAACACGTTCTCTTCTTCTTCGTCAGTCGTCATCATCATCATCATTGTCTAATTCCTCTTTTTTTTTTTTTTTATTCTTCTGTTCTTTCCA